CACAACAAAGTTGTCGTTGTTTTTGGGGGGAGGGGAAGTACTATACTGGAATTTGGTTCCCTATGTTTTCGTCTACCTGTAGACACAATGCCCTCCCCTTTCTAAAGCACTGCACCAATTTCAATGATACTGGGTTCACAGAACCTTAACATACAAAGCCTAATGTGAATAAAATATATAGATTGGAGTTGCCTCCCCAATTTATAGAGTTATGCCCATTTATTATAAAAGATTGTTCACACTAGACCTCCCACAGTACTGCACCAATTTGAATGATACTTGGTAACACTTAATGATTACATTGAGAGGATGTTAATATAGTTTATAAATTGGTGTAACCTCTCATTTTAATGGAGTAGTGCCCCTTTATTTAAAAACACTCGGAAAAGAAATGTACTTACAGTTCTTGGTACAGGCAGGGGTATTAATCAATCTGCCATTCTGGTGACAGTTCTAGTTTATTCAGAGCCAATTTAAAGTGTCTCAATCTTGTAAAAAAAGGAAATGACAAAAAGTTATTTCTTTTCTGCTAGAGTAATAGTGACAAGCTACTCCAAATCAGAAAAATGCTGAACAAGTTAGTACGCTTTTTGTATTATAATTTTACAACACTTTGACCTAAAGTTTTGATTGAGTAGCGTATACGGAATTTCTGGAAAAATAACATCTAATCAATATACCACACAGCTCAGTTTTGTCATAAGTTTTAACACGCATTATATGAAAGATAGTCTTTCGAGAGAATGTTGAAGAAAACTCCACAATGTGATCAAAGGAAATGTAATTACTTCCAGAATAATCACATAAATTCTTGCTTATGTGATAAAATTAAAGGACATTGGATCTGCTTTCATTTAATAGGAGTTTTATGTCAGTGACATCAGAAAGCCTGTGTGCATAGGCTTGCTGAATGGAAAGTTTTAGACTTGACTGTCATAAATTTGGCGGGATGTGGGAACTCCATTTTAGGTTCTATATATATACACACTGTAAATTTTGCACTCGTTTTCACAGAAAATTAAACTGTTAACTCATTCACCCCTGAACTTTCATAATGAACTATTCCAACCTTTGAATTGGAAGAGTTCAAATATGTCTTCAGGGGTGCATGAGTTAAAGCATCAACTTTTTAGACCTTAGAGACACTTACACGCCAGTGCCTTAATCAATATCTTAATTGTAACTTCGAAATAAAAAATGGTGAATTTAATGTTGATCCTAAGTAGTAATCATGAAACACTGGGGTTTTTATATACTGAAAGCTATATACAAAATCTACTTTTAATAAAAATTGCAGCTATAGATCAAGGTGTAAATGGGAACACCTCCGCATTCTGTTTAGTTTGCGCCAAGTAAACGATTGGTTGTTTAAAACCAATAGATATCAATAAAACTGCTGTTTTCCTTACCTTTTTTTTTTTGCGACAGATAATTAATTCTCTGCCACCTCTGCCTTGGCAAGAACGAGCGTCTTGTTCAGCGGAATGAGTTACTGATATGACAGGTTTTGCCTCCTTTACCGTTTTTATTTCCACACCTTCTCCTCCAGCGGGAAGCTTCAGACGTGATCAGAAGCCTGTCATATCCTCTTAAAGCTTGGAGCTACAACGAAGGCTTTTAAAGTCGATCTCGTCTACTAATTCGTGCAAAGTTGTGTTATTATATATACTGAATGATATGGACATTTTTGACACTCAAGGTCATTTCAGTCAACATGTTTTAACCAAGAAGATTTACTCATACTGTAGAGTTATAGATATAATATAAATCTAGGGGTAGTAGACAGTACTTTCTCTTACCATGGACAGGGATATCCACCATTTTACCGGTGTGAGATTTTCTTATCTCTCCCTAGGGTTGAGACAAGCTACACATGTTCTTTGCACGTTCTCAACAATTGTATGACGTCATAGCAACAATACCATGACGTAACGGCAACAATACAATGACGTCACGTCGACAATTCAGTCGCATCACATCAACATTGTCTTGCATTGATGTAACGTCTATATAAAATACATAAGAGGGTAAATAGGGTAAGAGAAAAATAATCATTCACCCCCTTGGGAGTGAGACAGGGTGATCTGAATCCTCGGGTAAGATTCTTAAGCTGTCAAACACTCGGCAAGCCTCGTGTTTGACAACTTAAGAGTCTTACCCCTCGGGATGAGATTACCCTGTCTCACCCCCAAGGGGGTGAAAGATTCTATTAGTCTTACTTACTTGTTGCAATTTACCTCTTCCATTTAGCATCTCGCTTACAGCCAAGATATTTCAGGGTCCCTTTTTCTATTTTTCTATAAAAAAAATATCAGTTCAGCCAACCATGAAATTATAAATGCCGAGTTATCTTTTTAAGATGCCACAGTAAAGATAAATCATTACTCCTGTAGAGTCTAAGGAGTCCTGTGAAACTTGCTTTAAACCACCTGCCTATTAAGACTACCTGCTTATAATAAAGATCCCCACTAAAAATATAAAGGTCCCCATCCATTAAAACACACCTGCCTATAAATAGATCCACTTTCTATAAAAAAAACTCACCTGCCTGTAAAGATTCCCTCTCTTTGAAAACCATACCTGCTTGTAACAGTCCCCTTTCTTTGAAAAACATACCTGCTTGTAACAATCCCTATCTATTATAAACACTGCTTATAAAGACCTATCTACACCTGAAACACCTGTGTATAAAGACTACCTGTCCATAAAGGTCATGCCTATGAGACTACAAGCTTATCATTATCACATAGTTTACAACAACCATCGAAATAATACCTTTTTTTAATATGATAACAACCTGCCCTTCAACTTGTTCACCCCTGAAATTTCATAATGAACTTATTCAGCCTTTGAATTGGAAGAGTTCAAATGTGTCTTCAGGGGTGATCTCTCTCAGTTGGTCCCCATAGACAGTTTTGTTTCTATATAAATCTATATAGAGATGTAAGCTGATATTATGTATAATTATCAATGTAAACTGAATGCCAATTAAACATGTTTTTGAAATCTCCTGCAGACTGCATTTTTCATCTGTCTAGTGGATAAGGGTGGAACGCCAGGGATTAATTTGTAAGCATCTCGTACTTGCAGCACTGAATGGGCTAAATTGTCATCTTTATTGGCTCGGCACATCTGCTATTAGACAGCAACGCTGCAGTGTCAGTATAACTCAGCTTGGCAATATTCGAGGCATAGATTGATACGCTGGAAGAATTTTGTTTAAAAAGTACTCAAATGCACTTCATTTATTCTTCAGAAATTTAATGGATACATTGGTCATTTTGTAGGCCTTTTATATTGCGATGTTTTGGTAATACAATCTATCTAATTAGATTTCTAGAAGGTTGATTACAGTAAGGAAATATTGGTACAATTGATCGAAAAACAACAGTTCTAGCTGGTTTAGGGGGGGATACAATGTCATGCTTCTGCATTGTCAGTTCATGATTGTACTGATAAAGATGTTGGTGCTCGTTGGAATCCATTTATGTTTAGGCTAGAAGTGTTTTATATAAACCTTCCTGACGTAATCGAAGATGTGGAGGATATCATGCTAAGTTATATCTGTCAATGATTTTTTTTTCCTTTTTTCTTCACCGTTTTTGTTTTTCCCCGAAATAGCATGAAACATAAAGTTTTCTATGTTCGGCACCTTTGTCTGGAGATTTCTCTCAGGATTAACCTTTTTGGAACTATTTCCATAGAGACAGAGATTTGATAGACACATTGCTGTATTGTTCTCTGACCGCTCATAGTTTAGCTTCAAGGACACCATATGACGGCTTTGTCAAAACGTCTTTATTTAACGTGTAACAACAGAGGTCTCCTGGCGCACGTTTATGTATAAAACTCGATAACGCTACAAAAGTCTTATACATGAAATTTCCGTTCTAATCTTTTCTGGCTGGTGCCCCATTGTTGTGTTGCAGACCACAATGTTCGATGCTATAGGGTCACAGCGTTTTATCTATTATCAAGTTTTCTACTTCATACGATAAACCGAAATATTGTATTTGAGCGTTGTATTAAAAGTTCTGTGCGGATGAAAGGGCTCATCTCTTCAAAACCAGGCCAGACTGTTGTCTTGATTTTCTGCTATGAAAACAATTGCAGTCGAAACCTTAAGAGACCACCCTTAACAAGGTAAAAAAAAATTGTCTCAATTAACAGAGGTTCAGTACGAAAAGAAAACACCACTTTGGTGAACATGAAAAGTGGTCTCTTTACACAGGTGTTCACTTAAGGCAGGTGGTTGCATAAGAAGATTTTACTTTATGAATAAAATTTCGCATTATTCTTAATTATTAATTGTTAATTAATATCTGTATTTTGGATGATATTATATTTTAGCACATATAGGATCAATTGCGAATTTCAAATATCATGTTGTAGGAAAATATCAAGGAATTGCAGGCCTGCTGCAGCCCCATGAACGTTATCATAAAATTCAGTTAATATGTCCGGCCCCCCTGCAGAATTGGTGGTGTTTGTCTGTGTCTAGCTGCTAACCTCATTGCAGCACTTGGGATCTCTAAATCTTCTCACTTTCATAAAAAATTTTTTTTACTGGTTTTCCCTAGGCTATTGCCCTCATGTGACTATATAGCTGTAGTGAGGATATTAACTCATTGGCCCCTGAAGACACATTTGAACTCTTTGAATCAACTAAGGTTGGAATAGTTCGTTGTGAAATTTCAGGGGTGAATGAGTAAAACCCCAAACAAACAAACAAGGCACAATCAACAACATCAAAGTTCATGTATGATGATACAGATTCATAATTTGAAAATCTTTTCTGCGTTTGTAAGACATATGGTGCTGACAAGATATCGTCGATATGGATGAAGATCTTATTAAATAGCCATTACAGATAATGTTAGAAAAATGTCCGAAATCAGAAGACCATGAATTACATGTAGCAACAGGGGATTAACTGGAATCAATGAAATACAACGGTGTATAATTACGGTTTTTACCATGCTTTATTTCCTGTGTTACAGACACAACGATTGGGACGCTGACGGCAGTTGACAGCGATGGCCCCAGCGAGATCTTGTTTGACATCACAGAATCAAGTACGGCCCTGTTGGTGCGTCTGAGTGAGGCACGGGGTGCGAGTACAGTGGGACGAAGCGTGGACATCATCCTCATCGCCCCACTTGACAGAGACAGGGTATGCTACATGCCAGGCCATTTACCTATATGTATTGTCACTGATAAATTGAATATCATATTTCTTAATGGCATATACTGTATGATCCTCTAACAAATTGGAACATTTTGGATATGGAACTTGGTGATTCGCCCTCAAATGTCAATCAAATCATTTGTATCTTTATCTTTATATAGTAAAACTGAGAAATAGAATCTTCTACTTTTTATACAGGTTTTCTTCTTTTCCTGTTGTCAGTGAAATGAAAGACAATAAAACAAATCTATTGCCTTCATCAATGAAACCCTTGAGATGTCTGTCTTTTCTTTATCTTTTATTTCTTTACGCTTCATTAGTTTTTCCCTAATTACTTCCCTAGTTATCCCAACTTAAGAATAATTTGACCGAATGAAAGTAAAAAATTTCAGTAAGATGACACTATATAATGGACTTTATGAGTGGGTCCATTACCAGTGGAAATAACCATATTATGACTTTAGCGAAGACATATAACCTCGAACCAGTTGATATTAAGGCCATATGACCTTACATTTGTATGAATTTAAGACAATAACCTCAAACTGATTGACATCACCGCCATATGACCTTAGCAAAGACACATATAACCCCAAACAGACAAAGGGATCTGTAACATAATTGATGATTTAGGAGTCTGTTGATAAGTTGTCATCTGCTATTCCATTTACTAGTTGTAAAAATATGTCACACCCAATTATTTGTTACTACCCCACTGGTGTATACAAATGTGCAAAAAGATTCCTGGAACTCATTTTCCCCACCCTGTGTATGGCCAATAAGAATGAATTTATGATATTTTCATATACCTGATTTCACTCATTCACCCCTGAAATTTCATAATGAACTGTTCTTACCTTTGAATTGGGAGAGTTCAAATGTGTCTTCAGGGGTGAATGAGTTAAATTCTAAAGTTTCCATATTTGTTAATTGGTGTTATATCCATCTCTGATTTTCATTCTCCTGATACACGTTAAGTGTTTCATATTTCTTAATTGATATTCGCCATTTTGGGTGTTAAATTTGTCACAATGATATAGCACTCTCTTACAGGACCCGGGAGAAAGGAAGATGTATTTCTCGGTGGCAGATGGGGAGGCGCCCCAGGAACATAACACAGTGAGTTTAATTTTTTTTCTGTTTCTGCTTGTTTCTCTCTCAAGAATGACTTTAACAATCACACAGAAATGATTTGCTGGCAAAACCAGGTGGTTTTCTGCTTTCTGAACGACTCCCAGGCGTACAGCAACAGTTGCAAACACAGAGACGTTTTGCCACCTTTATGCTGTGTTAGTATTCCTTGTTAGGCCATAATGAGGAGAACATAGGCCATAAAACCCACAATTTTTATTGCCGAGGCTTTCATTGGTGATCATTTTCATCACCTACGACACTTGACACTCGGTGATGGTTTGGTTTCCATGGTGATCTGGATTCAGATAATATGGGTTTAATGACTTTATCCTTGCTGGAACTTTATATAGGTAATATCAACACTTCATCTGAGCCTCAGATATACTGTTTATGTGAAATATGATGCTGAATTGACGTACAACGTACCAGAATTGTTTACACATAATCTGGGCTATAAATTCCACCTGTTGCTGAGGTTTGAAGTGCCTGTATTTGCATCTTACATTTATTTGTAAGATTCTAATGTCAGGAGTATCAGGCAGCTTAAAAAAATCATTTGATTTTTAAATAAATCATTAGATTTCATATTTATGTATTTCATTCTGTTATTTTATTTTCCCTCTAATCAATTAATTTATCTACGTCATATACATTGATATTAGAGCTTAAGATGCTACGATTGATCATGTGAGTTATTAATTATAACCCTTAATTGAGTCAATGTCCAGCAGCCCACTAATGATGTAACATTTTGATTTCTCAAGGACCAATGGCATCATTGACTCCATACTTTTTGTCCTGACCAAGTTTGTTTACTTTTTTGGCCAATCCCAAACAAAATTCAAGATGACCTCTGAGATTCAGTACACCCTGCCATCGGCTGAGAAGTTAATCCAACTAATCTTTTTGAGAATGCCGCTGCAGCGATGAACCTCACCCTGGTGCAAATGTTACTTATGGACTTCATTATAAGTGTTGTTACTGTTTTAATGCTGGTGTGAAAATCCAAAATGGCCACCCTGGCCTCTGATTGGCCGAGACTTTCAGGCCTTCCTCTCTAGAACAGTTGCGCAGCAATTGACATGAAACGTTGTGCAAGTGTTCCATATGAGGTTGCCACCACATGTTATTCATTTCTGTGCTGATCTGAAAATCTAAGATGGTCAACCTTGCCTCTTATCAGCAAATTCTTTTTTACTTCAATGCAAGAATGTGTGCAGCATTTTATGACTTTCCTCTTACTTTTTGTAACAGTTTGAATATCCAGAATGGCTGCCCTAGCCTCTAATTTGCTTAGACATTTTCAGCTTTAACTAAAGAATGGCAGCTGTTATTGATTGCAAAACTTGGTACAAAATGTTTCTGTCAGAAATTCCTCCAGTGTTCTTGACCTTTTGTGCTGATCTGAAATTACAAGGTGGCTGCCCATAGGACTTAAGAGTTGGTGTTTAGAGAACAGGATTTGTCAATTATCTTAAAAAAGTAACAACTTTTTGAAAGCAAATATATTTTTTAATGCTACAGACATATACATGCACGCATTAGTTTTATATTTTAACATTCAGGGTCATATAGTTATACAGACACATTTGAATAATGAAATTAGCCAATTGTCTAAATAAATTGCCAACATTGTTTTTGGTAGCCAGAACCTATGTACAGTTCCTTTGAATATAATAACACAGTAACAGCATCTCTTAATGTCTGTCCGTTTTAATGCCATTTGATAATACTCAATAAAACTCATATGAGCATTAAGGCGCTTAGGGCCTTTTGTTTATGTATAATTTTCTCAAAAGTATCTCCTCAAAATGGGTTTGTACGAAAATGAAAGTTGACAGTGTACATCTAAATTCATTATAAATGTATTTTACTACCTAAGTAGTGCATTTTGAATCAACAGAAGGAAACAAAAGCAAACCTGCCTTGGAGACTTCTATTGATAAAGTCACAAACGTCTGAAGAACAAACGTTTAAAGCTAATAATGGTCCTTAGGTTCTCCTGAAATCTGAAATCGCACCAGATTTTTGTGAAGACTGCCTCGGGTAAAGGAATGAAATTGGATGTCTCCTTGCTACACAATCATTAAATTGATCGAGTTTTTGCGGAGTGCAACATCGCAATTTCTTTGTTCGATCCAGCGCTGATCACACTTAACCTTATTAAGATGTGTTGGAACGAATCATAACAGGACCAGATCTGTGTTTTTAGCTATCAATTTGATTATAAGATTTTGTCCTTCATTTGTTAATGTTAAACCAGCTACCTGCACAGTCTCAGACTTTTATTTAGAAATTTTGTATCGAGCCAAGGCCGTCCAAAAAAACATATTTCATGACATTCACTTTTTAAATATCAGATTAATTTGATATCTTTTATATTTAGCTCCAAAAAAATGACCAGGGTCATAATTATGGTTAACTCAGAGATTATTTTTTTTTTAAATGTTAAGCAAGTCTTTTAATCTAAATGTTTAAACTTCATAAAAGCTAGGAAATGGCAACTGTTGCCATGATGAACCAATTGATGTCTCGGATGCAGTTGCGACGTAGTTTCCACTCGACATGAATGTGTGTTTGGTTGATTTGTTTATTTGGTTATGGGTTTTTTCATCCTTGCAATATCTTCAAAAAGATTCATCAGTTTGCAAATTTGTAACATTACAGTATTACTTTATACCCAAACAATGTATGTAAAAATATTAAAGGTGTTGCATGGTTTCAATACATATATTGTTTATGTATAAAGTAAAACTTTGATAATATTTACAGCCTTGCAATAACTTTGATAAATTGTTTCTTAAAAAGGAAAGCCATATCTTGCAGAACATTTTTGAAAACATAACAAAGATTAAAAACAAAAGAAAGATCATTAGAGTGTAAAAAAACACCATAGCAAGACCACCATCAAAACCCTGGACCTCCGATGATTATACTGATGATCTAATTGAATGTGTGATACCTGCTCAACAATAGTACATTGGCCCAGATGTGCTGTACAGTTAAAACCCGAGGAATAAGTTAAGGGGAGGTTACTCTTTGTATGAAAAGCTACAGTGGAACTCTCTAGTGTTTTGCCTGTAGTGATGATACATGTACAAGGACCCTTAAAGTAAATTAAATTCAAAAATAATTTTCCTGAGCTTTAGAAACTATATTTTCATAACATGAACAACTTTATACTTATTTCTACAGTGCTCAATGAAACGGCCAGTCACAGATAATGGATTTTACGTATTCGACTTAACGATCATTCACAGACTTGTTTTGTCTCTTGCTTTCATTAATGTCAAAGATAATTCCGAAAATGTCAAGGGAATTATCAGGATGAAAAAAAAATCAGTGGATTTAATAACAAAACCATTAACAGAGTCAGAATCATACGTAAGGAGACAATATGTCTGATATTAATTCAATTATTCATCACGTTATCCTATGATTAAGAATGCACCACAAAGTTGCTGGTATGTCTCAGTGGAGACAGCGCTCCGAGTGTTAAATGTTATAATACTCAGCTTGACAAGCTAACAACAACACATTGAGAATAAACAGAAACATCGGATACATTTTTCATAACCAGAGAACCAAATACGAGTCATGCTTTGGGAATTAATGTTTTATAATCATCATCAGAACAAATCCCATGATTTGACCATGCATTAAAACAAAATTCAAACATTTTCTTATGGGACAACTAAGGTTTGAAACATTTTTTGTTTAAAACTCTATGAAATACCATCTAATGGAGCTCAGTTAATAGGACGTAAAACACAAACCATCCAAACCCATCTAATGGGTTCCTGATGACTTTCAGTGATATTTCATGATTATTTAAATATTAATTAATATAACAGGCACTATGTATACATTGTACAGGTTATATTTGCAAAGACTATTTCTACTTCAGAACTGTTTTTCCCCTGATGTTTAGAAGTTTAAGCAACCTTGAGGACATTTTCCTGGCTAAGAATTTATTTTCCTTGGCATGTAATATTCATCTGCAATTTTGATACTCTGTAATAAAAAAAATGTTGATAGGAACACACAGAATGGTATAGAGACAGCAATTAATAATAAAAGGTCCAAAGTTTGATCCTTGAAATTTCTGATTTCATTTTTATTCTAAATAATATAATTTCAAACAACTGCAGTTCAGTAAAATGTATTGCATGATGTGAATGTATTGGTAGGAAATTTAACTTAAAGATTTCATGGCTGTACCAATGGTAATAATGTGTTTTAAATTTAGTGGTAACTTTTGTCAAAATAATGAAAAACTAAAATAAGCATTTATGTAGTCAGAATATCCTTCCAAAAATAATCAGGAGACTTCTGGGTCATGTAGCTTTAACCAGGAGACCAAACGATTGTGTGGCTTTAACCAGGAGAACAAACGATTGTGCAGCTTTAACCAGGAGACCAAACGATTGTGTACAGTAGCTTTAACCAGGAGACCAAACGATTGTGCAGCTTTAACCAGGAGACCAAACGATTGTGTAGTTTTAACCAGGAGACCAAACGATTGTGTGGCTTGAACTAGGAAACTAAAGGATTGTGTAGCTTTAACCAGGAAACCAAACGATTGTGCAGCTTTAACCAGGAAACCAAGGATTGTGTACAGTAGCTTTAACAAGGAAACCAAGGATTGTGTGGCTTGAACTAGGAAACTAAAGGATTGTGTAGCTTTAACCAGGAAACCAAGGCTTGTGTAGCTTTAACCAGGAGACCAAACGATTATGTAGCTTTAACCAGGAGACCAAACGATTGTGTTGCTTTAACCAGGAGACCAAACGATTGTGTAGCTTTAACCAGTAGACCAAACGATTGTGTGGCTTTAACCAGGAGGCCAAACGATTGTGCAGCTTTAACCAGGAGACCAAACGATTGTGTAGTTTTAACCAGGAGACCAAACGATTGTGTGGCTTGAACTAGGAAACTAAAGGATTGTGTAGCTTTAACAAGGAAACCAAGGATTGTGCAGCTTA